TATAATCTTTATCGTGGTTTGATAAAAGAACGGTAAACAGGCCATTAGAACGGTAAACGGCGACTCCAATTTAAAACAATGACTAGACCTATCATTTACTATAATATCTTGCTGCTATCCCCGTTTACCGTCAATATCACATCAAATCTTTTCGTTAATCGTTTGAAATGTTGTTATATGTTATTATAAAAGGTTTATGCTCCAAAAGTCATGGCGATATACTCGTATTTCTTTACTATGGCCAATTTGAGCATGGTACAGGCGACTCTTTGTTCCTCGTGGGGGGTCGCCATACTATAATAACCTGTGAAAAGTGCCGATTGCCTATATGAAAATAGCTGTGTAGACAACGTTTAGCATGTCCATGATTCCATTTCTTTTGAAATTCTGTAGCTATGTTCTGTATGTAGCAGTAGCTAATTGGTTCAAATGGACCAGGGAACGTTCGCACGTTAGAGTGAATAGGCGTTTTCTGAGCAAACCATGTTATCAAGTTTGACCAATTCGGTTACTTTTAGTGTTGGATATGGTTTTACATTCACTATACGAAGCTTTCAATGATGATATGGAATAAGGTAGAAATCAAGTTTACCAAAAATCCAATAAATAATTTACTTTCATCCAGACGTGTATTATGTCCTCCTAATTAATTTCCCTTTACTTACAATATAAATATAGATTTTGTATCGCCTGGAACGATTGCTAATATGGATAAAAATTTCGGTTACCTACAGTCCTTGCAGTGTAACATATATTTAATAATTTTTCCTCCATCGCAACACTAACTTATCTGCCTTTCTAACCATAACTCTCAAACAATTGGTATGCTTGTAAAATTCCCATATTCAGACAATCTTGGACATAACTGGTTGAGACTATTTTCCCCCCCATAGAAAATTCGCGTATTTTTATGATAAACTCCATGTTGAATCATGTTGCCATTCTTAAACCCCCGCTCCCCCAACTCAATGTTGAGCTTGTATCATGGTATATTACCAAAAGTTGTTTCGGCGTTGTTCACAACATTGAACTGGGTGACTAGAGCAAATCTTCAAAAAATAATAGAGAGATCAGATTTGATTTCCACTACTGCTATTCCTATCAGATAAGATGAGTTTCATTTATCCAATCAAACAATCGGATGCAACTGCCAGATCAACTAGTGGTAGTGGAAGTCAAATTTGAACCATTCTAGTATATGGATTTCAGAGAGACCAGTCATTATTTGCTGGATATATTATTATAACTTGTATTATCAAAGGCTACAGTAACTATATATTATTTTATGATATTGTAAATTGATTATAATTAGCTATAAAGTGAGAATAATTTTTAAAAAATATTCAGAACATAAAATGATTCATGCATGCTGGTGATTGAATAAACCATGGAGTGTGCATTCTGAATCTCTACAAATTCCTTGACATTATTTTTCCAGTACAGTGTAAAACTATATAAATGTGACACAGGTTGCAGGTATTAGGTTGCATGTCCACCAGTGTGCTGAAATACTATCCAGTACTAGTGACCCGGTCTTGTTCATTGTACCTTGCATCTTGCTTAATTCAACTGTTTTTGACCCATTTCTTGTAGCCATAAAAGTTCTTTTCAATAATCTAAAAAACTTTAAAATTATTCAGTAAAATTAGTTTGAAAATTTGGTGAAAGGGGTCAACACATGAAGAAATCATTTCTTATTGTTCATACATATGGCGGTTTCAGTTTTGTAACGAGTCACCTATAGGTCGAGTCACGAATCGAGTCACTCAAAGGTCGAGTCACGAGTCGAGTCATTTCAGTTTCAGATCGAGTCGAGTCGAGCCGAGTCAGTGGCTTCACTCGAGTCGAGTCGAGTCAGCAGTTTCACTCGAGTCAAGTCGAATCATTGGTTTAAGTCGAGTCAATAGCTAGACTTAACTTGAGTCAAGGAATTTGATCAAGTCCACCTACATCCTTGTCCCCAGGGCCTCTCGGCCGCGCGCGTCCTCCCTAGGCCCAGAAACATACGGAACCGGAAGTGTAAGTAAACTTTCAGTAGTTTCTAAAGCGCATGGTCTTGAATTGGGACACTTTAGCACCCGTAACAAATTTCAAAGTGAAGTATTACGAAGAAACGAAGTATTTACGTTGACATATGTTGATAGAATAATTTTTCCTAGCTAAAACTGCTCAACTTCTGCGAAATAGGATTTCTCTGAGAAGCCAATCAGATCTCTCGCTTTAGTCGCCTAACCCACAGCCTACTTTTCGACGAGTGATCGAGTGAAAATGGTTCTGGGGATGAGAATGGTCCACCTCACGCTTTTTGTAATGGTTCGCTACCTTAGCTTGCAGTTTGAAATAAGTAATCAAATCTACGTTTTAAGCTACTCACTTTAGTCATTAATAACAGTATCTGGGCAGCCATAGGCTGTACCAATATCACAGTTCTAGTCAATATTAAGTACAACCACATGAGATGTCTCATCATGCCTGCTGATTGAGTGTACGTATATACATAGCATAACTTGCAACTGGGTTCAGAATTAACAAGGAATAGACTTTAATTAACCATGCTTTGTAAGTTAATTTGAAATTATATAGCACTTCATAAGTACCAAAACTGAAGATAGACTGTCAGAATTAACATAAGTACAAAAAATTTTGAGACTCCATTTTAAAAACTGTGGCACTAGTGTTGTTTCTAAACACAGAAATGTAATATAGGCATGCCCGTCAGGAATATACTGTATTCTATGCAAATCCCATATATTTTCTGATAAAGTTTCGAAGTTCTCATTGTTCACAGGGCTCATTGTTCTTCCCAAGCAATACAATCACAATATTATTTCTGAAGTTATTCTCTACAAGTTGTAGCTGAGTTGACTCGAGTCATTTACGGCAAAATCAACAAGTCGAGTCCGAGTCGAGTCATTTGGGGCTGTTGACTCGAGTCGAGTCATTTTTCGTTTTGGACTCGTGTCGAGTCGAGTCGCTGAAAATAGCAACTCGAGTTCGAGTCAATGACTCGACTCGTTACAACACTGGGCGGTTTACGCCCGCCAAAGTTTAGGGCAACATTGGACAACGCACATTTATATATCGTGCATGTAAGATATGGAACACTATCGATGAATTTGTAAAACTATGCGAAAACATTTCAACTTTTAAAAATAAACTTAAGAACGTGTTAGTTCAAAGATTTATTTCAGCTTAGTTATATATGACGTTTTTATCACGCCAATTTTATAGATTTATATAGAGACGTATTTAATTAGTGTTTTACCTGTATTAAACATTTGAGGACATGTATTTGTAAATTATCACTGAAAAACCCTTTTGGGATGTGTTAATAAATCACTATCACTATCATAGAAACATTTTTTAAGCATGCTTAAAAATGTTGTACCCCCTGTCAAAATCAAGTCGGGCAAATTAGGAACGTAAGTCGGGCAAAAATTGGGGGCAAATTAAACACTTTAATTTAAACAGAAGAAATATGCAATATAGTAGTTAAAAATACAACAATTATGTAAAAATAACCAGGAATTTTATAAGATTAGAAAGAAGTTTTCGTCGACTTTCGCCTCCCTCCACCCTTCTCTCCCCCCCCCCCCTCGAGAACAATTTTGGAACGTTTACACGGAAAATATTTCTGTGTAAGTCGGGCACAATCAGTGGGAAAAATTCGGGTAAATTTCCTTCACCCCCTATTTTATTCCCTCCCGTACGCCCATGTGTACATGCATGTTCAGAGCTTTCAGGCGAAAAACGAATATCAAAGATCCCATACTTATCGTTTCTTTAAAATTTGAAAAAGGTAATTTACAACTTATAGTGCGAAAGTATTTCTAAGCTTTCTTTTCTTATTTCATTCCGGGCAAATACCTATATTTTTGAGATCAGTGAGATGACCACCATGCATAGTCATGCGCCAACGATTATTGATGAATTTAGACTGACTTAATTTGCTAATGCTTTCTTTTCCCCAGGTGTAAATAGAATAGACAATTCCCATTATAGACTAATTTTAAAACTAGGCAAGGAGATGCAAATAAATCACCACAGCTAGAAAGAGCATACTAAAATTAGTAAAATTGCAAAGTTTGGTTGCGAAATGTTGTAAAATGCAGAAAATACAGCCTTGCAAAGTTTGCAAATTTTCAGTCATTTTGTATTGCGTGCGGAATTCCTACCACATTCAGGCCCAAATGTGGTAGGAATTTCCGCACGCAATACAAAAGTATACAAAATTTGCAAACTTTGCAAGGCTATATTTTCTGCATTTTACAGCATTTCGCAACCAAACTTTGCAATTTTACTAATTTTAGTATGCTCTTTCTAGCTGTGGTGATTTATTTGCATCTCCTTGCCTAGTTCTAAAATTAGTCTATAATGGGAATTGTCTATTGGTACCCTCGCCACGGGCTTTGCCCTACGAGTTCCGCCAGTGGCTCGGGGATGATCTAACGTCCGGTCGCCCGTTCTATTGTACTCCGTATTGCCTATTTGCCCTTCAGTGTCCCATATCCCTATGATATTTTTCACCATTTAAATATCCTATATCCTGACTCATCATCAAAATATTGTTTTTATTAGGTGTATCCTCTACCACAATCTAGTTCCAAGGGCGGTATAGTTATCGATTATCACAATTTCCATCCAACCGGATGTTCAGGTTTTACATCTGTATACTTTTATACTGTATAAATTGATTATTTGTTAAGTAAACATTAATAAGACAGATTAAACGCGGCTGTAATTCAACCGAAAAACGGTGGTTCGATGCATCGATAATTGTTCTATGTATGTACCATTTCAGCTTACATATAATATTTTATCGCCCTGGCAAAACACGTACAAGACGTCTCAACATGGTCGAGTGAATGCCAAACATCGTGCTTTTGAAAATATTTTAGTTTTTTCTTTAATAATTAAAACTTGCTAAGAATTTGGTGCCCGACAAAACAGTACCCGGCACACCCTTTCGATATGTGGCAGCTATAGCAATATACATGACACCGCTTAGAAAAAAATTATCACCTGATACTATATAAGCAACTAGTGGACACGAATGGTGGCACTTGGACACTATATTTTCCCCAATATTTCTGAGGTACAATTTTATAACATGTGCTTCATCTCTGTATATAATAAGCAATTAAACTAAATACTTGTGGCATGGACAAATGCCAACGGGCAATCTATACAGCATGCAGATATACCAGGGCAGTAATTATTCAGGTTCACGATTTCACAAAAAAGGACACATTTTCTATGATGGTATCAATCTATTGTAGACACATACCTAAAAATTGGATCGTTATGATTTATTCTGGAAATTAACGTTTTTAGACCCCGGAAAAAATACGACGACAACAAGTCCTCCAGATGATGGGGCAGGGAAAAACACAGGTAAGGTCCAGCAGACTCTGTGGTACTAGCTTGGTCAGTATTCACTATTTGTATTCAGTATTAATTATAGTAGTAAATATAGTAAATATTGCTTTTCAAAAAGAATGATTCGGCAAATTTGGTTTCAAAATCGACGAAATATTAAAAAAAGTCGTCCCCAAAATTAAAACGAAAGAAGCACAACAACATTTTGTGTTTAATTTGAAATTGAAAAGTAGGAACCTTTAATTACATTACTGTGTAAAACGTATTCGCGGACAATTTAAAATTTATTAAAACTGCGAAACATTCACTTTAAACAAGTAGCAAAACTATCGCGACTGTTGACTAAATTTAGCCTTGCCGTGATATGATTGATAGATTTGTAACTTTATTTCGAGCAATAGTTTAAAGTTTATTTTACCAATTTTCTCATCCATTTCCTGAACAAATTAAAGCTAAACAGAAACTTGGATAATTGGAGGAGGCATAATATTGAAGTCCTCGCATGCACATAATATGATATCAATATATATAATAATAGGGCTGCTTATATGTGTTTCCCGAATCGTGGGGGGCTGTGGGTGAAACAAAGCATGCATTCATCTATTGTTTGCGTTGTTTACGTGGAAATACTTAATCCGATTGTGCATGGGAGTGCATTGTTTGCGTTGTTTACGCGAAATTTCTTCCTATGACTGCACGTAGATATAATTTGTATTCTTTTATTGAGTAAACAGTTTTGGTTTTCTTTCAAAATACAAAATTTTTCCTCTAAACATAAATTACACCGTTATGTTTAGAAGAACAATTTTGTATTTTGAAAGAAAACCAAAAGCCATTCTTAACTCGATAATTCACTTTAATGCAAGCTGGTATGCATGAAATTGCAGTGAATGTTATCGTTCATTATAAAGCTAGCGCATCACGGCATCACACATTTTAAAAATTGGATCGTTATGGTTTATGCTGGAAATTAACGTTTTTAGACCCCGGAAAAAATACGACGACAACAAGTCCTCCAGATGATGGGGCAGGGAAAAACACAGGTAAGGTCCAGCAGACTCTGTGGTACTAGCTTGGTCAGTATTCACTATTTGTATTCAGTATTAATTATAGTAGTAAATATAGTAAATATTGCTTTTCAAAAAGAATGATTCGGCAAATTTGGTTTCAAAATCGACGAAATATTAAAAAAAGTCGTCCCCAAAATTAAAACGAAAGAAGCACGACAACATTTTGTGTTTAATTTGAAATTGAAAAGTAGGAACCTTTAATTACATTACTGTGTAAAACGTATTCGCGGACAATTTAAAATTTATTAAAACTGCGAAAGTAGTATAGGAAGTAGCGGTTCTAGACCACTTTTTCAGCCCGCGATCTCATCCCACTTCCGGTCAGCGGCTTCCATATTTTTCCCCAAAAACGCGGGCTCAAGTTTCTAGACCATATTATTTATTGTGGTTTTTTAACGTATTTTTATTATATTATTTTAAGTCTTATTTTCAAATCTTTTATTCAACAGTTTCTTTAGTATCCAACAACAACCAACTTATTACTCCCGGGAGTTCTTACGGCTTCCATACCTAACGACTTCCCCTTCAAACGCATCGCGGCTCCTAGGTATTCCTTGTATTCTTTTGGTAGCCTGTTTAAGTTTTTTCTTATATGGTTCTCATCAGTTACCAGCATTCTTAACGGTTGTAGCTTTTTGAACTTCCACCTCTTCAAGGGCACTATCGGTCTACGCACTCGTTTGGAAGTATGTGTTTCTACTTTTTGGTTAAGGACTCGGTTATATATATTTTCAGCCTTTCCGGTCGTCCAACCATTTGTTTCCGGTTTTAGTATTAATGGACAGTTCCAGTCTACTCTCTATTCAAATCTCACCTCGGAGTCAATCTTTCTAATTACATGGTGTCCGTAAGCGTAACTTGTAACACCATCTTCAAGTAAGTATCTTTTATCATCAAAACAGCTAAGAGTAACTTTCTTTAATTCATAAGTTCCAATTTTATGCTTGACGCTTCTGATTGTGTTCATCTTATGTCTCATCCGACCTTTCATGTTAATTACGTTCTTGAAGTTTTCATGAGTGAGCTTGTTTCTGATCACATACTTTTTCACTCCTTTCGCGGTCATTTTACCTCCACCACTCTCCTTCACATATGAGTACATCTTTGACCTCAACCCAACAAACTCGATTACGGGTACACCCTCAGCTTCATCCTTGAACTTACCGATAACCTTCTTATTATGAGCTGAGTAGTACGGAGAATCTTTTGGATAATCTGAGTTATCCCAGCAGTCTTTCTCCTTACCGATCCTCCCAAAGTCCTCGTAGACGTCATCAGTCTTTATTTCATACATCAAGCTGTCAGTATCTGTGAACAGTAGCTTTGACCTGTCACCGTACTCCTTCTTAATTGTGTTGTAGTGGAAATCATACATTAGAGTCTTTGATAAGTCTAAGATGCTCATTCCAACATAGCACGGTTTATTAAGAGTCAGAACTTCCTTCATCCGTTTTACAACTATTAAGTTCTCATTCATAATTCTATGTGACTGGAAGCACGGTGATGCCGTAAGTTTTAGGAGGTCGTTTTTCGATGACACTAATTTTACATCGACTCTTTTCCTAAGATTTTCCATTGTCTTTCCATAGATTGAGTTGTTCATTAATTTGAAGAAGTTCTTTTCAAACACATTACGTGCTACTGACCGTTTCTTTGTATTGAAGTCAATATAGTTCTTAAGCCAAGGGGACTGTTTGAATGAGACCGCTCTGTGAACCTTTGTGAGTTTCATTCCAAGGTCTGTGTAGAGTTTTAGATTACGTGCATGTAAGACGTAGTTCTTCCTTGGTCCAAGAGAGTTCACCAGTTTTCTTACTCCTCCAATTGTTAGCTGAAATTTCTCAGCAATACTTTTTGCGTAATCTGACAACATTGAAGCATTAATCTCTTTGCTCTCTGGGGCTAGCGGATAACCGTTATGTAGATTGTGAAGTTCTTGTGGATATTCCATGTCAACCTCTAGAACCATACCCCTTCCGTTGTCTCCAAGGTAGTCATCAAGGTTTATACCATCAAATTCCTCGACCCACTCAAACTCTCCATTAGGTAGTGGTTGTGACATTGCCCAGCCATATAAATTGTTGGCGTCGAGGTACATAAGGTACTTGTTTTCGAGCTCTTCGTTATACGTTTCCATATACTTATTATTAGCTGTAGCTTGTCTGTGAGCAATGTGACTTATCCCACCTCTCATTCCCTTCTCAAAGAACTGGAACATATCCATATCACTTGCAAGTTCTATTTCTTCACCTGACTGTTTCAGGAATGCATCCCAACTTAGACTGGGTGCTGATATGTAATGTGCAGGGTCAAGTTTATAATTTTCCAAGCAGGTTCTCCTGAAGTTTTCAAAAACATCCGCTAGTAGAAGAACGTCAGTTTCTAGGTAGAGATCGTGGTAGTCTCTCATAGTTTTCATTCCAAAGTGATCCCATACTTTCTGAGCTCTTTGGTAATCTTCTTCCTTCACCTCTGACTCGTACAGTGTTGAGTAGAATTTATCTTTACTTGGAAGACCCTCAGCATCAAGTTTACTAATGTTATCCAGGAATTCATATGGAAAGACTCCTTTTTGTGTTACTAAGTTGAAGTCCTCACCCTTCCACCTCTTACCTACTATCTTGAAGTCCTCAGGTGAAAGGTTACTCACGAGTGCTTCCAATGAAGAAGCCATAAACTGTATAGAGTCTATGAAGACAAGATTTTTACCTAGTGAGAATAAAATGTATTTTTCCATGTTATTTGGAACTACGTTAATGTTCATCTTAAATTTACCAATCTCTTGCATAATTAGATGGCTATCGTAACCTCTTAGATTGTGGAAGACCACAGGAACTTTCCATGTAATTCTATATTTTAGGTTGCACATATTATGAGCAGCTCCACGAAACATTCCTGTTACATGATCGTGGTCCCTCACTCTGTCGTCTCCAAGATCATTACCACATATTGAGCA